CGTTGACACGTCGCATACACAAATTGTCCACCAAAATCAAACGAGCCATCTCACGACCGATGCCTAGCTCTCGTGCTATCTCTCTAACACTCACATGAGGATTTTTGAACACGATTTCCTTTGCCTTTTCAATGTTTTCGTCGGTGGTAGAGGTCGAAGGTCGTCCAGAACGCGGCATGTCTTCGACGGTCGTACGACAGTCCTGAAAGGCTTTGTACCACTCATAAACTTGAGTTTTCGATAAAACTGATTCCCCATAAGCCTTTTGTAGCATTCGCAACGATTCTGCACACGAAATTTCGTTCGAAAAACAAAATTTGATGCAAACTCTTTGTTCAATATTTTTTTCCATTGTTTTTTTCGCAACGCACTACTGAGGTGAACTGGTTTCAACAGCTGCCGTAAACGAACTGTCCTGACAGATCGCGCTCATTTTTGGCATAGTAAATAAGGACAGTGCTGCCAAACTACATAAACTTAAAATATCGAAAAATATACAGCGCGCGAATTTTAAATGAGAATTTCCGAAAGCTTTTCGGTCACAATGTATATTGGCCCGCGATCTTCTCTGGTCTGGACACACACAATCATTACATGATTTCGTTACGCATTTAAAAATGACATACGAAATTTGATATCAGAGTTTTGATGTCTTACGAAATCAAAAAAAAAACAGAAATGGGTCACTGAAATAGAAAATTCCATCTTTAAAATTTGTTTTCAAATTATTTCACTAACTTCAGCATTTCTATCTTTTTAAAATCTTTAAAAAAGTTATTATTAGAACACAGATTTGAAGCTTTTTATCTTTAATAGGCTGGCTTTCGCGTACCAAAGTGGTATTAAATATTATAGATAAGGTATGAAACAAAAGTATCTTTACAAATTGTTTTATATATAAACAAAATAACCAAATAGCTGCTATTTGCAGTAACTGCATTTGGCTGATAAAACAAGAAATACTTCTAAAACAACGGTGGTCTGATATTAACATATATTTAACAATTTTTTCGTATAAATTCAAACGTTTTGTAGCACATATACAAAAATAATATTTGAGAAACATATGACAACTTTTTATTATCTCCAGTATATCACATTAGGAACAAACAAAAATTTATAATGATTTTGTATACATACATAATGCATTCCAGATGAATACATATAAAATTAATTTAATAATTTTACATATCTCCATTTTTATATAATAATATACGATATTAGTTTGCAAGGGGTAACCCATTTTAAGGAATTCCACTATTATGGATATCAAGATCCAACATAGGTAAGCCTAGCCATAGGACATTGTCATAAAATTAATTGGAAATACCTAAAAAAAGCGTTTCAATATGTACACAAATTATTATGATTAATCTGTTAATATTTCGAAGACTATTTAGTTTAAATATACAAAAGTTTATGCTAAGAGGTTTCTTAAATGAACAGGACCACTTCTTCTGTCTGGTGAAAAGACCCTCCCGTTCTGAAGACCGTACAGCGGGTTTACAACAGTGCACGGTTAACAGATATGTGCATTTATAAGCGCGCCCATTCGATAGAGTTTTCACTGTATGTCGGCCATCAGAGAAGATAATAAGTATATGATAAAATGAAAACACGCAACAACCGCACTAATGTATAGAGTAATTAACAAACTTAATAAACTTTGGGTGTTTACATTAATAGATCGGCACCTTATCGATAACAAGATTTCAATAAAGAAGAGTAGATGTTAAATTTAGTATTAAAATGAAAAGTCTCGTTCTTAAATTTTTTTAATTAAAAATTTTCCAGCTTTTAGATACATATGGTCGCTACAGGTGTGTGGTGCACATTCATTATATTTATGGAATCAGGAAATATTAGAATGTTATATTAAACTAAATATATTTATTTTCTTATTTCTTAACTTTTAGAAACATATGGTCGCTACAGGTGTGTGGTGCACAAATATTATATTTATGGAATCAGGAAATATTAGAATGTTACATTAAGACCGAAAAGTTTTCGGAAATTCTCATTTAAAATTCGCGCGCTGTATATTTTTCGATATTTTAAGTTTATGTAGTTTGGCAGCAATTAAGGACAATTACTATGCCAAAAATGAGCGCGATTTGTCAGACAGTTCGTTTACGGCAGCTGTTGAAACCAGTTCACCTCAGTAGTGCGTTGCGAAAAAAACAATGGAAAAAAATATTGAACAAAGAGTTTGCATCAAATTTTGTGTTTCGAACGAAATTTCGTGTGCAGAATCGTTGCGAATGCTACAAAAGGCTTATGGGGAATCAGTTTTATCGAAAACTCAAGTTTATGAGTGGTACAAAGCCTTTCAGGACGGTAGTACGACCGTCGAAGACATTTCGCAACGCACTACTGAGGTGAACTGGTTTCAACAGCTGCCGTAAACGAACTGTCTGACAGATCGCGCTCATTTTTTGCATAGTAATTAAGGACAGTGCTGCCAAACTACATAAACTTAAAATATCGAAAAATATACAGCGCGCGAATTTTAAATGAGAATTTCCGAAAACTTTTCAGTCTTAATGTATATTAAAATAAATGTATTTATTTTCTTATGTTAGATCAGCTGTTTACTAAAACAATATTTGCTGACGTATGTAAATTTTATATACTTATATATTTCATTAAAAAAATTGTTTTAAACCAGACTTATTAGATTTAAAAAAAGTTTATTTGCAAATAACAATAAATAAATAAATAACAATAAATATTCGACAAAATAATGAAAAATTTAAGCAAATAAAGATTTTGAATTAAAATTTCTGGTATACAAAATAATTTAATTTTTATAACAAAATACATAAATATATATTATACAATTAGCCATAATTTAAATTATTCGATAAAATAAATCAGGCATATTGTGAGATACATTTTGATATATTCTAATAAAAAAGTTAATCAAGTCGGATTGAAATAAAAACTGACAATTAATAACAATCCATTGACTTGGATGAGAGACATATATATAAGTTTGGTTAGGTTATCAAACATAGGATGTGATTTACTTAGAATCCCGATGCTTGTGAGAAATGAAAAATAGTTCTTCAAATTCACTAATAAAGGATATCTAACTGTATACGGAGAAGCGCAGAATGATAAACCTAATGAAATCACTCAATTAAATACATTATAGTAAATAATTTTCCTTTCAATCAATTGATTTGAATAATATTTTAGAATTCTAATCAACATAAAGCTATGACATTAAAAAGGCTTTTTTTAAATTTCTTACTAATGTCAAATTTACGGATATCCTCGACATGTAAACATATATATGGAATTGAAAATGTTTGTTGAAATTATAGCCTAATATCAGATATACGCATATATGAAACATACGTGTATATACTCGAAATCTATAGAAAGGAAATTACGAAAAATTTTATAAAGTGAATATCTAAAACGTATTATGGATACGGTTTTCTTACTTCAAGCCGATTAAAATCTCAACATTACTAGAAATAACTAAAATATTCAATCCAATGTAAGCATATCCCAAAGCAAGCCATATTAAAATAAATTGTGAAAACAGGACATATATTAAATCACTCCACAGAGTGAGGATTGAAAAAGCCAATGAAAAAACCGTCGTTAAGAAGGCAAAAGACATTGATAAACTAACGAATGTTTCTGAAGTTTTGTAAAATAATATACCATTACAAATGAATGTTATTAAGAAGTTGCGATTTTTTTTAGTTTGATCTTACAGAGTTGAATAGGAAATAAACATATTGTCCAACTAAAAACTACTGTGTTAAAAATGATTTTTTTTAAATGCATTTTAAACTCTCTCTCCCTTAACAAAATTAACTGTATGCGAGTGATTGTTATTGGTATAAAAGGAAATTTTAACTATATAAATATTAATATTGAAACATTTATAAAAAAAATATTATATTATTCAAAAATTTACCTGTTTTGTTTACTTTCGTTTTTTTTCCAAAAATCTCTGACTAACATGTCTCAAATAGTATGGTTAACATACATAATACATATTCCTATATATGGTATACTAAATATGTGTAAACATTTTATTTTGTTTGAAAATTGCAAATTAACTTTGCTTTAAAAATTTTACGAAAATGAAATAAAAAAACATAAAATAATTAATTCACCAACTGTTTTCACTTTTAAGTTTCGGATTCTGAATCTTTTATTCAACAAAATTGCGAAACCAGATATTATTGTAACTATGTCTGTATGTATATTAATTTCCAAAGAAACGTAGAATAAGCAAAAATTATTTTAAAAAAAAATTACAAACAAAAAAGAAATATATCAAGTAGGTCAGTAGTGAATGCGAGCTAATAACGAAAAAAAAAACAATAATTAAACATTTTTATGTGGTACGTTCGGAGATCTTGAGATGCGATGTTGTCCGTATTATGCGGATAGACCAAAAAAAAAAAAAATTAGGTGCAGAACATAAACGTATAAGATTTTCGTTTTGTTAGTCAAAGATTATAAAATAGTGTGAGAAAATAAAATATTTGTAACAGATTTTAATAAATTACTTTTACTTTAATGATTAAAATTTGATAAACAAAATTATTTGAATTTCTAAGCCATTACTATCTTTCTTTTTCTTTCCTCTTTAAAGAGTCACAAGGCCACATTTTATCAATTAAAAAAAGTATTATGTAGTTTGAAAACTAATGCAAAAATAATTTAGAAACATTAATAGAAAACAACTTAGAGATATAAAATGTATATTATATAATATACATACAATTGTTTATACAAATGTATTTAGTTACTTTGCATGATTGCTAAGTGAGCGTTAATTAATGGTTTTAATTACAATTTTCAAATATAGAGAAATATGAGTTTAATTTTGTACTTATAAAATACTTAGTAAATTTTACTTTAGTATAAAACAAATCATTTTCCACGAATAAAGTTTATGACAAAACAAAAATTAAAATGACACGTGTTTTCATTGAAAGGTTAATACATATTTTAAATCTTAAACTTACCTCTTTTACTTTTAGCCTTTTTTCTTCTACGAGATTATCTGGATCTGCATGTCCTCCAAATGACATTTGTAGGTTAACATTACCAATTGGTAATATATTATTCTCTAATCGACCGGATATATCATCGTTATTATAACCGGCATTATTCTTCAACGGCGGAGCAGCACCTTGCTGATTGTCATCTAATTGTGGTGAATCACCATTAGCATCAAAATCCGTATCGCCATCATTATTATTATTGGCATCTATCGTATCTTGTTGAAGTTGTGGCTTATCTAAGAGCTCACCAAGTTCTTCTTTGATTTTTGCTTGCAACTTTTTACGGTCACCCATAAAATGTGGATCCAATTCCTTTGGGGCGTGCGCAGCCAATGGTGGTGCTGGTATAAATATTTCTGGACCAGCTTTTTGGAATTGCTTATAGACGCGCAACACACGATCGCTACCAAAATTATCGGGTAATAAAAATATACCCCCAAAGCATAGAAGACACAGCGTTATAAGTACAAGTCCGATAAGGCATTTCTCACGCGAATGAAAGTTAGATTTTCTACCAATTGGTCCGATACGATACATATTTAAATGTTTAATTTGCTAATATCTATGAATTATTTAATTACAATAATAATATTTTAACAAATGTGAAATTGCAAAATTATTTTCCACAGCTCATTCCATTAATCCTACAATCGTATCAGCATTGAACAATATTATTGCACTTAATAAATACACAAGCTTTTAATTAACATAATTATTATATTTGTGCACGTTTATTTTGTTTATAAAAATCGAAACTTATCTGTTCACGGCATTAACAAATCACACGCACACACAATTTTAGCAAACAAACAACTATAACAACTGGCTGTCAGTATGACAGCTCACTAGCAAAACAGAGAAAGTAACTCGCGTTCGTAGGGCGAAATGTAAGTGAAAAGGAATAATGAATGCCTTTATTTTTATTTACAATTGAATTTCTTTTATTGCACCAAATATAAACAAGTATACGTATAGTACAAAATGCCAATAATAGCAACTTAATAAATACATCAATAAATAATTAGTTAATAGATATTATCCTAGAAAATTCCAATGTTAATATAACTGAAGTATTTGTGCATGTATTCACGTATTATTATTTTAAAAATAGTTTAGGATTCCAATATTAATAATCTTTATTAGATATTAATACACTTTTCACTGTATACGGTTATAACAAAATTAACGACTCAACCCGCTCTCCCATTGCCGTGTTTTTCAACTAATGGATTTGTTTAAAAATCTTTTGTAAAAATAATTCGACATTTAAGCTTTTGACAGCTGAGAAATTATTGCCACCTAATTTTATACTTTTTGTAAGCAGCTCGAAAGCATTAATAATAATTATTTATATTTTTAAATTTAAATTTACACACGTAAATTAAAATATGTGTACAATCAACATTGTATAAATAAATGTAATAATAAAATTAAATTATATATAAACTTTAAATTTGTATCTATATGAATACAATATATCTTTTATTTAAGAATATAACCAATTTTCATAAAAAAATGTAATATTAAACACCAAATCTTTAATAATACTTTGTACACTGCGTGCAATATAATATGGCGTTTACACTGGCCGCAAATGAGTTATTTGAAAGTGTTTACACTCGTTGTTAGTCATTTGTTTTCATATTAAACAGCTGATTTGTCAACGTACCTGTTGATTTGATTTTTTACCTGTGTAAAATATACCTTCAAATTTTACGAAATAAACTAAAAACTCGTTTTTAACTCGTTTAAAACTCGTTTAAAGAATCGACTCAGTGAAAAAGTATATCAAGGACAGAGCCCTTAAATTATTCACAAAAGTTGATATGTTGCCCAAATTCACTATAACAAACCCTAAGTCCACCTCAGGACGCACAGGAAGATATACTGATCTACGGTCCGTCATCAGTTAGAAAATAAATATATGATAATGATTCTAGTATAGTTGAAGTTTAGTGTGGGGCAGGGATAAGCCCCCCAGCCACAATCGAGTAAAAGTCACAACAACAACAACAAATATTTTTCGTTATTTTTCTATGATACTCAGTTTAAATATTTATGTCATTGAAAGTTAATTGCAAAGTAATGTTCGTTAATACAATAACAGCCTAAAAATCGTGTTCCTGCTACTGCAAATATCTAATTTTAGGTGTTATACTCCACATTCAATAAATATTTTTTTATATTCAGTTTCTATGTTTTTTAATATATTCGGTGTTATGTGGACGTTCAGTGCTACTTATTAAAATGAAAACAAACCAATGTAATACTTTTAGGCATATTGGCATCACTGCTCATAATTTGCATTGAAGTATAAACTATAAACATTTAAGAATTGATGGACTATTTAAATTTTAAGTCTGACAAAACATTGTTTACAAAATGTGAGAATAAACATAAAAACAAAAACTTTTACGAGGAAGTTAAGTCGGATGTGCTATGTGAAGACGATTTTGGTAATGGTAGCATGGAAGAACAGCAGGCCTGTGTATCGAAAATGGATGCAGAGCTATTATTAGACGATTCACTAAATCTGAATTCTTCAACTACAAAAAAAGGAATGAGATTTGAAGGACAAACTCTTTTTTCACCACCGTTTTTCGAAATGGTAATTTTATAGTCAATTATAACCAAAATTTTTCTCATTTTAACTTTATATTTTAGCAAAATACTTATAATGATCAAATTCTTAAGAACACTTTGATAGCGCGATGTTGCACTTGTTCTGTTGTACTACGTGGTCATAAGAATGTCTCATCAAATTTTTTAAAACATTTGCGAAACCAGCATACTTATTTATATAAAAAATATGAAACCATCAAATTTGCTAAAAGTCGAAATAGTCGGAAAAGAAAAAGCAATTTTGTGTTGGAATACGAAGAACCAAATTCTTTACTCGACTACGAACAAAGTTCAGAAAATACGGACTCACACATTACCCAAGAAAACGCATCCCCACCTGAAGTCAAACCAACTTTAAGTATTGAACAGAATTTAGCAAATGATCCTCTTAGCATTATGGACAATATGCATGAACAAGATGCTTTAGAAATGAACGGCAAAATGACTGAAGATAAAAGAAACATAAATAATGAACTAGCAAATAATGAATTTATGATGAATATTGATAATATACTTGAGCATAAATTGAAAGACTTTATAACTAAAAAAAATTATGTTTCAAACGCAGAAGTAAATTCCTTGCCAGAAGAAAACTTACAAAACTCGATGCATGTTGCTCTCGAAAAACAAGTGTGTTCCTTGCAGAAAGAATGTGAAGAATTGCGTAAACATTTAGAACAAACAAAAATTGGGAGGGAACAATTACAACGTGAAGTTCAAGCCATGGATAGATACATAAGACGAAAATCAATAGTTATACGAAATATTCATATAAACGATTATAAAAATCCCCATAATGATATACTACAATTTTTTGGTGAAAAATTATCGCTCCCAAATATAGATATTAACAATGTGAATATAATGACTAAATCTAATAATTCTAGACAAAAGTGTAGTTTGGTTGTGGAGCTAAAAAATGATAGCGATGCAAAATTAATATATAAAAACTGTTGTAAATTAAAAAACACTGGAATTTTTGTTGAACCATTTAATTCCCAATATACACAAAGGCGTAAAGAAAAACTAATAGTACTGAGAAAAGAAATTAAAAGACGTAAACCTGAATTAAAGGTATTTGTTCAAGGCCACCAACTTGCGGTTAATGGAACTAGTTTCTATTGGGACGACATGGAAGGACTGTGCATAGCTCGAGTAATAAATTGGGATAATTGTACTGTTAAGCCTGCCGCTGAATATCTGGAAACTGCGACGGGATTAAATTTATCAGAATTTTTAAATGTATTAAAAAATTATAATGTGCAATTTAGGTAGAATAATTTAAAGTAAGTTTTACTTAATAATATTTAATATACAAAAAGTAATATAACTTTTAGTCGTTCCATTTTTGATATATTTAAATTTTACTGCTTCGTGTTGTCCGATTTTAATCGCATCAAAGTTTTGCATGCTGCGTTATGTAGTTTAGGATCGATTTGATCTGAAAAGATACAACTTATTGGCAATTGTTCAAAACAGAAATATTTATTCATACAAATCTTATGTTGTCCTTTAATTGGAAAGATAACAGGCAATTGTTGTGGATTAGTACAGACAAAAACAAATGCACTTTCTGATTCTCCGTTAGGATAAATATCACGATATTCTTCTTGTGCCAGACATTCATCAACTATTACACACCCAAGTAAACAGCCCGTTGGGTATTGTTTTGGAAATTTAATAGTTTTATCTAACAATGAAAAAAAAGTGTAATTTTCTTTGTTCTATACAGTACGATTTTTACCATTATAATAATTCATGTAAAATTGTTCAACTTCTTTAATTTCGTCTTCTTTTGGCTCTTTAGCAGTTGATGCAATCCAAAGTCTACCACGGTGTTCACTATACCATATTCTACCTTCATGTCTAAAATTAATAAATTAAAGAGTGAATATTACATATTTATGAATAAAGTTATATTATTTAGATTATTGTTACTTCTTTATACCAGCCACCAACAAAGATGCATATGGTTGATGCATTGATAAGCAATGCCGCATATCCTGCATTTCCAGGAGTTGTTTATCTTGGACGCGATTATATTTACAGTCCAACCCTTCGTTTTTTAACTTTGATTTGTCGAATGCATTACCGTCGTTCATGTCGGTATATACAGGGCGAAATTCACTTATATTTGGATCAATATCAGACACATCTGAAGTGTGTTTTGCATTATTACTTTTATTAGACCATTTGTTTGCCTTATTAAAATCGGAATTTGTAGCAGCGATCTCTTTTAATAAATTACGTTCATATTCCTCACTTATAAGAGGTTCATCAGGAACTTCATGACCAGCAAAATCAATTTTATATTTGCGTTGTGCACGACTGGCGTGTTTTTTATCTTGTAAATTATTTTGCAAACTCTTTAATTTTTCACGTTCAGCATCGGAGAGCCATACTGAGTTCTCCTAAAATAAAATAGGTTGTTTCGTATATACTTTTATGTTAAGAGATAATTTGAAAATATTACCTCAAAGTAGTCCATTTCATCATCTATAACCGTTGTACGTTTTTCACTGTTCCTGTCGTATTCTAATAAACGATCTCTTTGTTCTAATGCTTTTTTTAATGACTCCCCGCCACCTTTTTCTTTAAGTGATTTTAAAAGATTTTCACTTTTTTTGTTAGTGGTTTTTAAAATTTGAGCTTCTTCATTAGTGCACACAATATTACCACAGAACAGACAGGGACCGCTGCCCTCCTGTTCACAAACAACTCTACCGCAGCTAAGACAATTATTTATCAATTTGTGCTCAGATGCTTGACAGTCACAATGTCGCCTGCCTTTTAGCATAATAACATCTCCCAACACATTACCATCTTGTGAATACAGATTGACATATTTATTTTTCTTTTTTACACCTTGTTGAGAATTTAACGATTTCTGCTGCGAATTCACATTTTGCTTAATTTGTGTACTGCCATGACCAGTCGACTTTTTCTGATTAGAATTGGATTTTTTACTGGGCAATGCAACACCTAAGTGATATATAAAAATCATTAGTATGTATTTTATAATTGCTTTTTGAGTGCTTTTCTATATTTACTAAATAATCGCTGCCTGCAATCTGCCAAAAACAACCGGTGATGATCTTCGTCTTTATTCAATAAAGTGTTGAAATATTCATCAAATTCTTCAGAATTTTTCAAAGAAAGTATATATTTTATCATATCATCTGGTATTTCGAAATCCAAACATATTGACAAACGATCTCGCAACCACTTTTCCATTTTTATTTTAATAATTCAAATAGTCAATAAATTTAATTGTGTTGCGTCTCAATAGCGGAATTTGGCAACATAACCACAAACTTGTTGATCAACAGCTGTTTGATGAAATGTTACATTGAGAAATTACTTGGCGAAACTCACTCTCTATTTATTGCAGTAATTATGGTTATAAATATAGCATATTCAACATACCAAACCATTTTGTAAAATTTTGAAGTTATTAAAAAGTTAAAAATTATAATGAATATCAAATTAATAACAAATTGAAAAATTTTAAAATTTCCTTTTACAACAAAATTAATTATAGTTAAAAACATTTATGCCTAACTAAGCATAAAGCGAACTGCAAGAACTTCTCCTGAATAGCATTATAAGCTTTGCCAAAGGTTTTAAGTAATTCTGAAATTTTAGTTTTTAATTATACGATAACACAATGGGCCTATAGGTCTAAGTGGATCCGATATAACCTGCCTAACAAGCATAAACGGTAGCAAACAACTAGTTAATATATTCAATTCGTTTTTTACTTACAATCACAGTTCGTATTTGCGGCTCATGAGCCGGCAAAAAACTCTTTTCATACGATGGCTAACGCTCACGAGCGAGCCCAACTACAGAGCTCATGCTCACGAGCAAGAGCTCCCATTAAGTTATAAATGGGCTCACGCTCGTGAGCAAGAGTATGAGCTGCGACTCATGAGATCTCATGCGCACGGTTGCCACTTGAAAATTTTTTTCTGTACCAAAATTAGTTTAAAAAGGTACCATTTCTGTAAAAAAAGGTCCAAAATTTTTTTGGACCTTCTTGTTTTCTCGTTCTGTGTTTTTCATAGTGTTATAAATGAACAAAATATAAAATAGTGCAAATTTGCATTTATAAAAAAAATTAATTGGAAATATCCACAATAAAGTTGGGTCGTCAAAAATGTACCATTTTTTGAACATGAGTACTAAACGAAAAAAATAAAAAAAAAAAGTACCAATTTTGGTAACAAAGTACCATAAGTGGCAACCGTGCTCATGCGCCCAAATTAAGATTTTGCTGTTATTTTTTTTTGTGTGAAAACATGTCATTAAAAAAGATTTAAAATATTAATAACCTTAAACTAACTAAAATATGGAAATAATTAAAGATCCTAAAATAAACAATAAATATATTTTTATTGTTAATTTGTGGAAAATAATATTTTATAAATTTGTTTTTCAAATTCAAATTATTGTTTTATTATATTGTTTTAATATGAAATTATACATTTTCACATATAACGTTTATAAAAATAAATAAATAAAATAAACTAATAAACCTCATGAGCAGGTCTTCAATATGAGCAACTTGAAGGCTCACCCTGGTGAGCAGCTCTGCAATATAAGCCAATTATGGGCTCACGAGTTACATTCTCATACCTCTTGCATACCTTAGTATGCATTTTATTTATGTTTGTATAGACATGCATATTTTCATAAATATCGTATTAACGCGAATATGCATGTTGATATAAATATTAAGCTGTCTACTATAGCGTTATCTAGGTAATGCTATTGCAAAGACAGCAAGCATCAAATTCGGTACCCAGGTGCAAAAATCTGCTGAGTTAGATATTTTGCATTTCAGGGTTAACTGAATTTGATTATGTTTCTAGACTTAAGATATTGTTTAAGAAATATTTTTAATTTAGTCTTAAGATTCACTTCAATAAAGGAACATATAATTTAAATTTTGTGTCTTTATTGAACATAATTGGCGCAGTCGACGGTGATTTGTCTCAAGACAAAAAGAGAACCTTAGAAAAAAAATCAAATCGGTAATAAAGTGCAAAGATTATCTATATCTAAAAAGTGTACTTTAATAAAAAGTTTTAAAAAATAAACGCTAATAAACTGCAACAACTATTTGTATGCAGAAGTTAACTTTAATAAAAAGTTTTAAAAAAAATAAACGCTAATAAACTGCAACAACTATTTGTATGCAGAAGTTAACTTTAATAAAAAGTTTTAAAAAATAAACGCTAATAAACTGCAACAACTATTTATATACAGAAGTTAACTTTAATAAAAAGCAAATTCTTAAAAAAAAAAAAAAAGAAGTGCAACGACTATTTATATCAAAAAAGTTTTGAATGCGGAGAGTAAAAGCATTCGACTTAAATCGACCAATCATGAGCAACGAAATGGAGCAATTGCAGCAAAGACTTCAGGAAATGGAAGAAGTTATAAGGAGGCAAGAAGCTAAAATTCTGCTCCACGAACAACAACAAGTTCAACAAGTGCAACAACAGCAAATACAACAGCAAGTTCAACAAGTACAGCAACAACAAATACAACAGCAAGTTCAGCAAGTACAACAACAGCAAATACAGCAAAATATGCAGCAACATCAAGGGCTTCTAGCACCAAAAGATATTTTGACGCAATTCCGCCAAATTAAATGCCTCAACAAGGATCATGATGCCATTGCTTTTATAGCATCAGTAGAAGCTGTCATGGAACTATGCCCACCAGAAAACCATCAATTAACGAAGCTAGCAATGACCATTATAATCAACGAGAAGATAACAGGTGATGCCGGCAACTATATTCGAGGACTTGGACCAAATACAACCTGGGACCAAGTTAAAATTAAGCTAATGGACTATTACCGACCGAGGGCAACATATGGTGATATTTACAATAAATGTCTCAATATAAAAGTAAGTAATTTAAGAGATTTATTTTCTTATTTTGAAATGGCGAGGTCAAAACTTAATAAAATATATACATTCGATGATAATAAGCCAGACATTTATGAGCCAAGTAGAGTAGATAGGGACTTAGTAAACATTTTAATTGACAAAATTGACATACCCTTAAGAACATATATTGATCAAAACAGTACACTTAACGATGTTATTAGGAAGTATACGCAAATTAAAGCGTTAGACGATCCACGAACAATTCACTTTAATTATAGACTGAAAAGACCATTACAGTCACAATACTATAATAAACGAAGTAATCAGACACCATCTGCACCCAATAATCAATATAATTACAGCAGTAATTTCAGGCGAAATAATCAGAATGATAATTCAACACAGTCAAACCAAAATAGTAAGTTCAATAATTCAATTCAGACTAGAAACTCACATATGAGTGTTGATACCCAAAATACTAGACGTAATCAAATTAATAAAAGAACTGATTTTCAGCCAATGGATATTGGTAATGTAGAGGAGGATGTAAATTTTTTCAACCTGCCTCGATCTGCAGATTGCCCATAATAACAATAACAATTGGTAGCAAAGAAATTAGATGTCTCATTGATACCGGTTCTGACACTAGTTTAATTAAACCAAATATTCTCAAAGATCATTTCACTGAACAGAAACTCCCAACACCCATTTGTTACCGAACAATAAATGGAATTAATCAGGTGACACATAAAATAATTACTTCTATACCTAGAGAGTTTAACGTCTCAGGTACCTTCCATTGGAAGGTAATTGACTTCAGTAGTAAAAATTATGATGCCATAATAGGACAAAATTTTCTCATCCCTCTTAAAGCTAAGATTGATGAAGAGAATAAATTTGTCAACATATTAGGCAATATTATACACTTTAAAATTTTTAGCCCCTATAAAAATCAGGAAATATGTACGCTTGAATTCAGCGACATAGAAAATTTAGATTTGAGACATTTAAATTCTGAAGAAAACCAATTATTAAAAAAATTATTACAGGACTTTAGCGAACTATTTTTCAAAGAGGGGGATAAACTCTCTTTTACCCACGAAATTAAGCACGAAATTGTTACTACAAGTGATCGACCTATTTATTCAAAAATATACAGATATCCACAAACTCATGAATTAGAAATTCAAAGGCAGATAAAAGAAATGTTGAAGCATAATATAATTAAAGAAAGCAATTCTGCTTATAATAGTCCCTTGTGGGTAGTCCCAAAAAAAGTGGACAAATCTGGTTCTCAAAAATGGCGGATCGTAATTGATTACAGAAAACTGAATGAAGTTACTGTAAATGACAAATTTCCAATTCCTAATATAGATGGAATTTTAGATAAGTTAGGTAAAGCTCAATATTTTTCGTCTATAGACCTTGCCAAAGGCTTTCATCAAATTTTGATGCATGACAACGATAGGAAGAAAACCGCATTTTCGACCCCGTTAGGTCATTATGAATTTTTGCGGATGCCTTTTGGGCTTAAAAATGCCCCATCCACCTTTCAACGACTTATGAATTCTGTGCTTCGAGAATTTATAAATAAAATTTGCGTCGTTTATTTAGACGATGTATTAATTTTTAGTACTTCCTTGTCTGAACATATGGAGAACATGAAAAAAATTTTTCTAAAACTAAAAGAAGCAAAGCTAAAGATCCGATTAGAAAAATGTAGTTTCCTAAAAAAAGAAACCGATTTTTTGGGGCATATTCTTACATCTGAGGGCATAAAGCCCAACCCAAATAAAATTGAAGTGATACAAAAATTGAAGCTGCCTACTACACAAAAACAAATTAAATCCTTTTTAGGAATTACTGGTTTCTATAGAAAGTTTATAAAGGACTATTCTAAAATAGCCTATCCAATGGTTGCATATTTAAAAAAGAATGCAAAGGTTAATTTAAATGATCCAAATTATATTATTTCATTTGAAAAACTAAAAGATATCATAACAAATCATCCCATTTTAAAATATCCTTTATTCAATAAACGTTTTAAACTCATCACTGATGCCAGCAATTTTGCAATCGGCGCAATTTTGACTCAAGAGGGTCACCCAATTTCGTTTGCTTCGCGAACATTAAATGACCATGAAAAAAATTACTCCACTATTGAAAAAGAATTATTAGCAATAGTGTGGGGAGTAAAGTACTATCGACCTTATATTTTTGGGAGAGAGTTTGATCTGCAAACAGATCATCAGCCACTTAAGTGGTTACAAGTAAAAAATTCTGGTAAGGATATTAGTCCTAGACTGCAACGATGGTTAGTGCAGCTGGGAGAGTACGATGCCAAAATCGATTACATTACCGGAAAAGAAAATAAAATAGCCGATTTTCTTAGTCGAATTAATTGCGATGAAATAAATATGTTAGATTCCGAAAATTTGGGATTCACCTTGGATGAAATGTTAAGAATCAAAAATTTAAGCGCCGAAAATCAACAAAACCAAACATCAGTTTCCTTGGAAGTACAAGCTAATAA